GAGGCCGGCCACCCGCGGCCGGCGCCGCGTTTCCCAGTTTCCCAAGTAGCAGGTGTCGGCCGGGCTGGCCGCGCCCACAGGGGGCTTCGGGGCCGCCGTCGCCCACAGGGCACGGAACCCACCCATGGAACCTTCCAGAACAGCCCGCAGTGATGTGCCCGCTGCGGCACAAGCCCCACACACACCGCCGGAGGGGGGCGCCGGCAAGGCCCCCTGGTGAGGTCGGCGGCGGCAGGCGGAGATGCGGGGGCCAGAGACGGGGGCATCCGGCGGGGAGCGCCAGGACGGGGACCAACACCGACCACAGCTGAGCGGCGGCAGAGGCCGGGGGCAGGGCTGGGGGCGACGGCTGCAGGCTGAGGGGCGCAGAGGGCGCTGCCCCGGCCGGCCGCGGCTCGAGCCTGGGAGGGCGGTCAGCCGGCTTCAGTGGGCACACCGGACAGCCCAGTCCCGGGGCGCGGCTTGGGGGCCGAGGGGGCAGCGTGGGGGCACCGTGGCCCCGGGACCGTCAGGGCCCCTGTCTGGGAAGAGGGGGTGGCTTGGTCGTGACTCTGTCTCAGAGAGGGGGTCCCCTGAGGACATTCCCTCCCACCTTGGGGGGGGCCCCGGGCTCTGCGCTGACCTGCCCGCAGGGGCCCGGGCACTGGCCGGGAGCCACGGGGGGGTGACCGTCCGCACGTGGTGGCCCAGGCGCGTGTCCCAGCCGGGCAGCCTTCTGGGAGCTGCCCTCCCCACCCACGTCCTGCAGCGCGTGGCCCCCTCGCCTCCCCGGGGCCTGGCCGTGGTTTCCTGTGTGGTCTCCCCTGGCGGTGATGGCCAGGTGGCCGCCGGGATGGGTCCCGGGCAGCACGCGGTGCCACAGGCCTCTCCGGGACGCGCAGGCGGCAGGGCGAGCAGCCTGGGGCGGCGGGTGCGCCGGCCCGGCGTGCGGGGTGCGGCGGGCGTGGCCTGGACCCGTGGACGCTGCCCTGAGCTAGCGCTTGTGAGGTCCCGAGCCGCCCCCCAGGCGTTTCCCAGGGACGCGAACACTCGGCTCTGGTGACCGCGGGGCAGGGCCCGCGGGGGGCGGGCAGGCGGGGTCAGCGTCCCCCCGGCGGCCTGCTCACGGTCCTTCCGTCCTCCTCGTCCTTCCAGAGACGGGTGCGTTGCTTGCCCGTGACGAGCCGAGAAGGGGGAGAAGGCGGCTCCGCTCCCCAGACAGCCGTTGCCTGGAGACGGCCGAGGCCGGGCGGCGATTGGCTGGGGGCGGAGGCCCCCTCCGTGGGTCCGGCCGAGGCTGCCAGACCGCACTGCGCCAGCATGGACGGGGTGGACCTGTGGGCCTGCACCCTGGCCCAGCTGATGGCCAAGAGGAAGCCCCAGGACACCTGGGAGCTGCTGGCCGAGGAGGACCTGGCCGCGGGGAACCTGGACGGCTCCGGCTACCAGTACTGGCTCGAGGGGCTCTCGAGGTGCGGCTGCTGCGGCCCGGGCAGGGGGGCCAGGGCAGGGGGGCCAGGGCAGGGGGGCGGGGCTGCCCACCCTCCCCCAGGTGCAGCCGTGCAGTGCTGGGGTGGACCCGGCTCTTGGGGCGTGGGGACGGGGCAGGCCCTGGCCCGGGCTCATCCCCCAACAGGTGGTGGCTGGCTGCCGCCTTTCCTCGGAAAGTGGGGTGTCGGGGCCATGCCTGTCGAGTCCTTTCAGCGGAGACCCTGCCTGGCAGAGTGGAGCCCCGGCAGCCAGCCCAGCTGGGGGGGGGTCAGTGGGGTGAGGTGCCACCCACCCTACACCAAGGGCTTTGCTCACTCACACAGCATTTCCTGGTTTCCATGGCGATGGGAACTGGCCACAGCCGGCCTGTACTGCCGAGGGCCCCCCGGAGCCCTGGGGAGATGGCAGTGCAGGGTGGGGGGAGCTGGGCCCCAGGTCGGGGAGCTGTCCAGCTGGGTGCAGGGCAGAGGGACTCGGCCAAGAACCCTGGCGGCCCTGGTCATCCACGCGCTTCGCTCATTGTTGTCACGGCGACCGGACGGTGTCACCGGCAGGGGCAGCGGGCAGGGCCGCCGCTCCCCCCCTCCCCCAGGTGTGGGGGC